TACAGTGTAATTTCCACCATGGAGTTTGCATGACCACGTGCAACATATTTTCGGTCATCGACAATTACTCCGACGCACTCAATAACTTCTTTATTTTTTTTTATCGCGACCGCCTCCAGTGTCTTATTTGTGGCTTCTGGGTGCTCACGTTCGAATTTGTGAAGACGCCCCGGCACACACCCAGCGCGCTTTCGGCCAATAGCACCTCCTCATTTGTCTCCTATACTTTCCAATGAATGGCCAAACTCTCCCTGTATGCGTCTCTGCGTACACTTATATTGCTCCTTAAAACGTAAATATGACACATTTTTTAATTTAAAGCCACGTGTCCCATAAAGTCCCTTTGAAAAGCTTTTTTTTTTCATTTCAGTGTTTCTGAGAACATCCTGTTTTCAAGGACATATGGGGCACCTTCCATCGCAATGTACGCCACAGCACCGCGTATCAGGCTAGGTTTACGACAACTGTTCAGTGTGAGTCTCCTTGCCGTCGTTTCTGCTTTATTTGCAGTCCCTTTTACAGCAGATGCAGGTTCACACGTGGAGCTTTTATCTTTTTTTTAGGCAAGCGTGCTCAAAAGTTTAAGCCAAACTAGATAACGCCAAAACGAATAAAACGTCACATGCACGGTTTCATGCGAGGCTTCAGAATAGCCGTCGCTGAAATATGTTTTTTTTTTTGTGGCGATTATGTAAATATCTTCTCCCCTAATAATATATTTATATACTGGGTTCTCAATGAGATTCAAACATAGCATGCTCCTATGTTATGCTTTGTTTGTTTTCATGTTTATCAAGTTACACTAGGCTTATCTTTTAGCTTAGTTTATTTTTCCTGCTTGTTTATTTAAAATCTACCAACAAAATAGTATTTGAAAGAAAAAAATATCTTGAGACCTATAGATTTTGAAACCTTTGGCTCAGGTCTAAGCAAGAGTTTATTGTTTACGACTTGTCTCAAATTACGCACATTAAACGAAACAACATCATGTGAAAGCATCGAAAATGAAAAGTAACAAAAAATGAAATATCATCACCACCGTCAGGTTTTTCTGTTTTTTTTTTTTTTTAGTTCTCCATTTTTTTAATGCATTCCTTTCCGATTACAGTTTTTCTGGGCATTTATTTGGACTGCACGCAATAACTTTTGATTTGCGTTAGTATCGTCGAAATAAATGCAATCCGCTCACCAATAAACAAAAATTTAAATTCAAGAGCATAAGAATATTAACCGCGCACAACAAATAAATTAAACGCATTAAAAAAAATTTAAATATTGGTCTTAAATATTAAGACAGCAATTTGCCAGATAGGTGCAGTCTGGTGGTCCATTTGCTGAAAACGTTTTCGAGAATATTTTCCTTAATTGGAACTTGCTGCAACAAAGTGCTATCATGTTTTAACTGTACTCAACATAAAAAAGACCCTGTGTATATTTGGGAAGTAAAAATGAACAAAACGAAATTATGCAAGCCTTTAAAATGATTGTATGTGAATCTCTACCTACTTTCTGTTAGAAAAGTGCCCTCAGGGCTCTTGTTCTTTTTTATGTTGGCTGTGACAAATGCCTAAATAAATATCAGCACATTGGCAAACTATATTTCTGAAACTGCCAAGTAAATTGTCTAAACGTTTTGTTTGGTCTAGCTGGCTACTTGACGTCTTGAACAAGGACGAACAACAAGAAGTGGCGGGACTCAGTACTGAACCCCGCCTCTTCGCGTTCTTAATCATTGTCCTGTTGCTCTGTTTTTAGCTCAAGATTTCAAAGGAGTCGATATTTTCACACTTTCACAGCGCCAATGAACCATCTTGCCACTTCTTAACAACTTACCTTATTTTTGTGGAACGCACTACGCTTGGTCGCGCTTTTCGCGGTAACGAACAACCTTCAAAGCGTTTTGGACAATTGTGTGAATAGCAATACAGAGCGCGACTGGGACGAGGACTAAGAGACAGATGCAGAGGACAAGCGCTGTTCTTTGCCGTCGTCACACTCGCGCTGTTTTTCATTATGAACTCCTATCAACTCACCCAAATGTTCAATCTAATATGTACGATCATGTGCATAATTAAATATATATATATATATATTAAACATTCTATATTATTATTTTTTATTTATTCAGGCAAAAAAAAAACATTTTGAAACTCGTTCTTGATTTCGTAGCAATAACGGCGACTCCACGAGCTCCATAGATTTAAATTTGTTTCTCCAAGTTTTCCTTAGTCAAATAAAAGTTGCCTGCGCAGGCGACCTAGTGAACGATCATAGTGAAGAAAACAAAGCTTGAGATTAGGTTTAGAAACAGGGACAGCACAACGACGTCTCAGATATGATCTTTGAGACGGTATTGTTTTCCTCATTTTTGTCCCTTGTCTCAGAGTTATGATTGTTGTTTTCACAATGTTTTTTTTTACTTTTAAAAATAGCACTTACCCACTCTTAAAGCATTAAGCTGCAACTGTCTGGCACATGCCCACAACTCCCCTCCCCCCCAAAAAAAAAAATAAAATAAATAAATATCGCCACTGAAAAAAAAAAAAAAAAAAAAAATATCGGGCACGGATTTGTGCGGTTTTTTCGTGTCTAGCTTAAAAAAGTAAGTTACACAACTCCGTACACCAATTGCGTACTTGCGACCCTCCAATAAGAGTGCCGCGTTTGTTGCTGTCTAGGAGTTCGCCGTAGTCTAATATGCGATTTCACTCAGAGACAGTCAATGTCTGGGTTCGTATGTATGCGATCATAGCTCATTGACTCGAACGGGGACGAACTACACGCACCCTGTCTCCCTTCTTTCTTTTCTTATATCCATCTATTACCAATCAAAATAGTCAAATCTCGATTCGATTCACTTCGGTCGCATCCATGTAAACGCAGCCTATGGCTCGGCGCTTTCAAGAAGAACATGAATGAGGCAGCAAGACAATACGCAAGATAAACAAAGAGAAAAGATTGGAACCGGCATTTTAGAGGGCAGTTGTTAGGCGCCAGTTTCCGGGTCTTGCGGCGCCGGCGTCGGCGTAACCGCGCTACGTTTAGCGGGAAAATTCACGTCACGTGACCTCAACACCGATTCAATTTCCCGCTAAATTTAGCAGGTAAAATGACGCCACATGACTCAGCGTCACGTCCCCTATGACTAAATTAAGTTTCTCTGCTAGATTTAGCGAGGAAATTGACGTCAAGGGACCTCAACAGAAATTCGATTCCCCGCTAAGTTTAGCTGGAAAATTGACTTCACGTGAACTGAACACCAATTCAGTTTCTCCTCTTGATTTAGGGGGACAACTGATGTCACGTGACCTCAACACCAATTCAATTCTCCGCTAAATTTAGCAAGAAAATGGACGCCACGTGTCCTCAACACCAATTCAGTTTCCCCGCTAAATTTAGCGGGGAAAAGGACGTCACATTTTTATAAATTTCTCCGCGACATTAAGCTGGCACAATGGGAGGAAAGGTCATGGGACGTCAGTTTTATCGCTAGATTTAGAGGAGAAATTTAATTTAAGTAGAGGTGTTGTAGCGTCAGGTTGCGTGGCATCGAATATTCCAGCTGAATTTAGCGGGAAAGGCCAATTGGTGATGTCAGGCCAAGGGGCGTCAATTTTCTCGCTAAGTTGAGGGGAGAAACTAAATTAGTGTTGAGGTCACGTGACGTCATGTGACGTGACATCCATTTTCCGGCCGACTTTCAAAGGGGGAAATGTAACGGGTGTAAGGTCATGTGAAGTCTGATCGCATTGACGTCACGTTGTTTAGAAACCATTTCAATTGTCCCGCTAAATTATTTAGCGGGAAATGCATGGACGGAGAGACGGTCGGTCGGACAGTTTTTTTTAGGATTGGGGGTTCTGTTAAAAGCATTTCATGCTTTAATATCGACAGTGATGTCAGTTCAACAAAATTTGTCAGTGTGAAGAAGCGCAATGTATTTTCACAGATCTAAATTGTCCACAGTAGACCGATGTATGTACAAAAATGCTTTACTTTCTAAAACATTTATAACGAATTTGTCGGTGAACTATTTATATCTGGCAACAGAAATTAGCATAAGAAATATCTACGTACTAAATTAATTATATTGTGTGCTGAACGACTGGAATCTGACTCGAGGAAATGGTACCTTAATATTTTACTCCCACATTACTACGGAATACGGATCCTCCCCGGGTTTCCCTTTTGTTTGTTAATCGACCAGATCTAGTCGAAATCATTAAGCGAAGCTCCGAGCCTCATTAGTAGCTCACGACGTGTTTCCGATGGCCCCGACTAACGCCAGTTCAAAGGAGTGTATGTTGAACAAGGCAATTCCCATTTGCAGTAGACTGCAGTCTCGATTCTTGAAACCGACTCAGTATGTCCACTTCGAATAAACATCCAATTATGCAGCCTGTCAAAAAAAAAAAAATTAATATATATATATATATTGTTTCCAGCTTTTGTGTGTTTGGGCTTTCGCACGCTTTGTGCTGTTGTGCTACTCTGACCGACATTGTAGCCAGTGGGAGGGCGAAAGGCGGTGTGCGCATGGCCACTTAAAGGAATTTCAAGGTGTTCGTGTGACTGAGACGCGAGTTGTCATCTTCATGACTACAAATGACATATCATATTTACGACAGACCGTCGGCGTATACCCTATTGCAGCATGAAAGGTATCGTCTAGGCATCGTCCTGTACGAAGTCAGCCTTGACGTGTGTCTTTTGTGTGTGTGCTTGTCGAACTAAGCGGATGTGCGGCGGCACGTGGAGCAAGAGTTTAATTGATTTTGCTCCAACGCAGCTGTCCTTGGCTGTACCATGTGACCGGATGGCCACAAAATTTAGAAATTTTTCGAAAAAAAATTACGAAAAGAATTTTTTGTTTGTTTTGCTCCAGTTTATTCCAATAAAAAGCGAACTCCCCGATTGTTTCCCAACCAATCGTGCACGGAAGAAAGGTGCTTAGCTGTCCTTCCATTCATTTATTCGTAAGAGATAATAGAAGTTGATCTCACAATGTCGCTGGTAAACTTATCTTTTGTTGCCGGAGCTTTAATTTTAACTTACATATCACCGGCGATAGCATCTACAAACTGCACGCCTACTACAAGAAATAATGCATCGAGGGTAAGGTCCTATTGTTTCTGTTGCGAACATTTGCTCTATGTAAATTAACTAGACAATTTGGTAGCGTTTATTGAAAGACGCATAATTCAATCTATTCTTTTTTTTTTAGTTTCTGAATACGTTTAAAGAAGGCTATATCAAGTATATCACCGTGGACATAGGGAAGTTATGCATTGCATTCACGCAAACGCAATTTGACGCCACAACCAAGGAGGCCATCTACAGCGTTTCGTCAAAATCAAGCAGTGGTACAGACAAGTACGTAATAACCCTCATGGAAAAGTTGAACTAAGTAGAAACAAACGTCGTCAACGGCCGAACTGACCTTCATCAATAAAAAAAAAAGAAAAAAAAAATTGACTGTCGATTTTTTTGCAAAGTGATTTTGCAAATTGTGGCTGCTGAAACCCAGGGCCTTCCAAGGAAATTTATCTTCGTGTTTTTTTTTTAATCCGCTTGTTATATGCATGATGCATGTGCAGTGCTTTGTACTAAACAAATGCTTAGTAGCGTGTAAGTGAATGAAATGGAATAGTATAAAAAAATAGACTGATAATAGGAACAATGTTTGCCCGCTATTACTCTAAAGAGAATGCGGACATCAGAACTCCGGAGGGCATATTACTTAAAACTGAATCAAACATAAGGTTCCGACAAAAATAAAATGTTTGTAAAGGAGCAGTGAGTTCCTAATCAAATTAAAGGACATGTTTATGTAAATAATGTAAACGAGATAAGGTACATTGGTAATTGGGTGCATTATATGTAGGTATTTCTAGAATTTAATTGCAAACCGGCAAACGCGTTCTCGGGTGTATTCTTGTAGCATTTAGCACCGCGATAAAGCATAATATGGTACTTAATTTCCTAATGAAAATATCTTATTATCTCGAGCGAAAATATAATGGCCTTAATTGAACCATACAAGCCAAGCGTGGTATTTATCTTGGTCACGGATAGCCTGTTTGCACTGGTTTGCTGGAACTAGAATGCTGCAGAGGTGACGAAGCAAGAGTTAAATAAAGTCAAAAGTAACTTTGGTCCAGTCTTGGGTAGTAACGCGTTACTAGTAACGCGTTACTGTAACTTCGTTACTTTTTCGGTAACTTGTAACTGTAACGAGTTACTTTTTCAAAATGTAACTTGTAACTGTAGTTCTATTACTTTTCTAAGGTAACGATAAAAGTAGCGACGTTACTTTTGTCGTTACTTTCCAGTTTTTTATGAATAATATATCGGTGAATGAGTACAGTCTAGCTGTTCCTTGCGCTTTCCAAATTGTCTGTTCCGACGTTTCGAGTGTGAAGTTGGCCTTGCCCGAACTTGTAAATACGTTCTTTTTCGCGGGTCACGACCCGAATATAGCCACATGTAGATGTGATGTAAAAAAAAAATATAGTTATCTTTACGCACGCGCTTGTACTTGGTGACTGAACACTTACATCTTAGTGTCTTGAAGCACTATCTATGTTGTGGTTTTTCTTTTTTTCTGAGCAAACGCTTTTTAATCGGGTGAATCAACCGTGAAACAGAAATACACGAAGAGGGCATTGCGAATGTTTCGTATTTTGATTAGCACCACTAATCTGCACTGCGCATGCTTCGTATTTTAATTTGCGCCCCTACTCCGGCGTGGTGTCAACAGTAGAAAGAAAATTTACTGCTGTTTGTGCGTGGTTTGCCCGTTGCTCTGGTTGCGCGGGGTCTGTCCAACAAGGGCAGGGACCTGTTCGCCGTCAAACGAGGGAAACATTTAGACACTAATTTCGAGAAGCAACTGCTGCTAAGTTACAATATAAAGTAAAAAATGTACTTTTTAATTCTATGCAATAAACCTTGGTGATGGGCGTTTTCTAGTTTTTCTAAATGTTTCGTGTTATAGAAAAGTAACTGAAAAGTAACGTCGTCACTTTTTAAAAGTAACTGTAACTGTAACGAGTTACTCTTTTGTTGCGGTAACTGTAACGGTAACTTCGCTACTTTTTTCTGAAAGTAACTGTAACTGTAACGAATTACTTTTTAAAAGTAACTTACCCAAGACTGCAGTTTGGTCCTGGCCAAGTCAAGAGGGAGTCGATCGCCACGTTCACTGAGAATAAAGACAAATAAGTCAATCTTCAGTTTCAATAATGCCCTTTAATACGTTTATCCTAGTGAAGTATATCTCAATTGAAAATCAATGTCATTATAGAGTATGAGCCTACCTTAGGTTTGTGATATATCTGAGCGGGAACTGAAGCGCATTGCAGCCCTATTGAAAATTCCATCAAGATACGTAATTTGGGACACTGACTGCCAGTCAGCAGCCTTGGTGGAACGTGAGGGACCATCAGACGTCATCTGATGGTCCATCAGATGGCGTCTGACTGCCACTGCCAAGGGAATTTCATCGACAAGGGCAGCATTTATATAAGAGTAAAGCTATACGCACTCATAAATTTCGCCAAATGCCTCAATAAAACAAAATGTTCGAGAAAAAAAAAAAGCAGGACCATTGCGAATTGAATTCGCGACCACTCCCGTTCAAATCGGACACCTTAACCCCTATGCTATACTATCGCTTTGGAAACTCGCTTTGACCATTTGTTTTATACGAGATGCTTCGGCTGCAAATGCAGTTAAGCCTTCAGCATGTTATGCAAAGCACTCGTACATCACTCGCTGTACTTCAGTTCTACTCACCTGCCATGTAGAGTACTTTCGCGTCGTAGAACGATCCTTTCGCGTCTCCGGCCCAGTAGACCTGGTACACCTTGTCGTCTTCAACTACACCGCTAAAGTCCCTTACATCGTCGGAACTCACAACAGGCTGGGTAGACATTGTAGAGCCCGGGCAGGATCGACAGGTTGGAGCAAGCGGGCAAACAAAACGAGTTCAGACCGATCGTTCATGAAAGCTCGGCGAAGCCTCTATGGGCGAAGCGAAGTCAGCGAAGTGGCGTGTTCGGCGGGCTTCTGATCAAGGTTGTCGGTCGGCTGCGTGTCATATCTCTAGCATCAGCGGTTTTATGGGCTTACGTCCTGAAATCGTTTTCTTGTGCATAGATTATTTTTGGTATTCATAGATTTGACGAAATAGTGGTATCCGAACGAACTTTACGTCCTTTGACCGTACGTCTGTCTGCACGTCAAAGCTTTTTGACGTACAGTCAGAGCCAATTGATGTACAATCAGAATCGCCATCAAGACATCTTGATGGCATTTCGCGGCGGCCGACTGCCACCAGGAAACCATCAGAAAGCCGACAAGTGGAGTCTGACTGGAGTTTGACTGTCGGTCAGAGTAACTTGTTGGCCAATCAGACATGCTTGACGTACAGCCAGGCACAGTCAGCGGTCCACTAGAAAACTGACTACCAAATAGGGTTACATTGATGGATTTTTCCTTCGGGAGACTATAAAAATAACTTAGGTTTATGTTTCTTTCTCATTAGAAAAGCGCTGGCCCTCGTAACTGCCTCTACAGAATACAGTCTATACGAAGAACATGTCAGGCTAGTAGTGATCAGAAGAAGTTATGAGTTATCTTGTGTATATTAGAGTAGTGTACCAAATTTTGTAGCGATGTGGTGGATGTCGTGCCGTACTTTCGTTTTCCGTGCTGCTTATTGTGTTTCATCTTAATCGGGATTTTTATTTATATTCCGCTAATCCCGCTTGCAAGCGTTATTAGGTTGTTAACTTATTATTGAAACTCATGTGTGAACATGTTATTGAAATAATGTCACAACTTATATCTTTAACAGCCCCACTGAGAACCAAGTTTTTAAAGTGCAAGAGTGTCCAAGTGATATCGATATTTCTCTTCAAAGCAGTGAGTAAAAATATACTTCCATGTTGTTATTACGGCCAGTAATTCACATTTGCTTACTGTAAACAAGAAATCATTGACTAAGATAGGCTTTATAAGTCTTACCGGACATATGAAGTGAGAATCAAATTAACCTCAGAAAGGCAGCCCATAAGGCTCCAATATTTTCGCACGGCGTTTCGCTATGATGCTCAAACAATCTGTTTGAAAAAGGCCTGCTCTTCCGCACCGTTCACGCAAGCACGACTGATAATATAAACATCAAACACAGTTAAATAAATTCTATTAATGCAATTCTACCGCAACACAGTTAAATAAATTCTAATAATGCAATGCAATATTTCCTTCGTTATATTTTTTGTTCCGGCTTTGTTGGAACAATTGTGCCAATATCTTCGCTCCTCACTTACACAATATAATAAAAAAAAATATTTAACTACCGAAGACAATATTATCTGAACTAGCTGTCCCAAGAATCTAATAAGGACCCTGCATAATCGATCATGTTTTATGTGAATATAAAATGTACATACAGTCTGATGAAAATTTTTTTTTCATGGAACACATTTATTGTTCTAATTGCTGATCAGATGTGATGACCTAACTAAAATTTGACACTACCTGCTAATAAAGCCGACAACTTTCTCATCTTATTTATTCAGATTAGCTGTAATCAACATGATTAATAAAGCTTGAAATACCGAATCTCCGTATGAGCACCATGTCTTAGTTTGTCGATTACTTCTTTTGTATTTCAAGACTTGACGCTCAATAGATATATTAGAGAATGAAAAACCATAGCATTAAGCAATATCTGAACTAATACACGCATTTGTTGTAATAATATCGATTCGTTGCTCTTGCAGGTTACGACCGACTGGCCACTAGTATTTTAGTGCTTACAGCTAATTTATTTAAAACAGTCCAAAAATGTAATATAAAATATTACTTCATCCAAAATGGAATATATTATGCATAACAAAAAAAAAAAAAATACGCTCGCGGTAATTTTTTTTTTAAATTTAGAAATAACAGACAGTGGATATTTAAACACTGATAGCCGTTTTCTTTCAACAGGTGGTCAACCTCTTTATAACATAACGATCCTATACAGCGACTATAGCTCTTGCCATGTTGTGCAGCATCGTGACGAAACCAACGGTAAGTACCCTGTGTTCATTCGTCTTATTAAGACGCCTGCTATGAAAATATACATTAGAAACGCGTTCAAAATGAATTAACGTTTTAGGTTCATTAATTCTTTCTTAGTTACATGAGGGCACTTGAACACGTAGAGCTCAATAAAGCAAATAGAAAAGTAACGCAAATATAGTTCATGTGTAGATGTTTGAATTCGAGCTTGTTTTGTTTCTCCTAATCAGCGGCACCTGAATAATGTGCTTATGGGTTTGAAGCATTAAACAAGTGACGAGCACAATAATCTTCATGATCTTTGGGGCGCCGTCGTAATTGCAGAGGTTTCACTACGAGCGGAGCTGTGCATGGGACCCCGTATTGCCAACATCCGCCTCTAATGTGGTTTATTATATTGCTGAACTCATAACAGGTTCTGCATAGCAGATTGCACTATCAACACTACATCTACACTTCTGCACTGCACAGTCGTAACCATTTTCCGGGCACCTTCTTTTCCGTAAGAAGAGAGAGCCTGACATTAATTTCCAGAAACCGTGTGCTAATAATTTAGTCATCCCTCGAAGTGTACTTCAGTTCCAAGGGACATTGACGTCGCGCCAATGATTTGGTTGTGCTCAAAGCACAAGGTCACTCAGAGGTTCCTACGTTGTACCATTTCATTGTGTCTTCAATAACAAACCAACAGTTTGAAGATTAGTGCGGTTATAATACTTAAATATTCAAAACAAGAATTGAGTCGGCCACAATTTTATCCAACGCATTGGTTCTTGAAACTGACATGCAATTATGCAGCGCTCAAGCATGTGGCCAAGCACACAGCGCAGAAAGTATTTCTGATAACTATATAACTCATCAATACGCCCGTGAGGAAGTAAATTTTCTCATTGAGAAAATAATTAAAAGTACAATATTATACGAATCACAAGCACGTAGTTGTCACAATCTAAACATTTCAACTTGTTCATTTCACTCTTAGTGAGTTCCAGCGAAGACGCCCGAGTCCAACCGCGGTACTACACCCATTCGACTTCATATGTTAACTCGAGATTGACGAAAATATTGAGAGTGAAATTTTTGAATTTGTAGAACGAGTTACCGTTTCTAAAACTCTTTGACGACATACTGTAGTCCGTTGCATTCTAAGAGTGCAGGACAATTCCCTTCCACAGAGCCCTGTATTATTTTCACTTAGAATAATGAAAGCTGAATGTGGGTGAGGAGGGACTCGCCTCCTGTCCATTGTTTACATTGTTAAAGTAGAAAGAGGGCAGGGCTTTGTGGCAGGAGCTTGTGCCGCACTCTTAACCTTCAGCAGACTTTAGCAGGGGACTCAATCACGCGGCCTGCGGGACGCATGCGGCCCGAAGGCCCGCACTAATCCCGCTTGACTGCGGGGTCAGCGCGGGGTTGGTATTTGTCAAGACGAGGGCAAGCGTTTGGCCACGTTACTAAAGTAGGAATCGTGAATGAGAATTCATAAAAAGCACTCGAGTAAAATTATGTTTCTTTACTTTAACTCTGTTTCATCCATTCGGTGTGGGAGGCATAAAGAGGCCATATTCATTATTAGTGGTGACGCACGATGACTAGCTTATTATTTTGGATAATTGGCACTTACAACGAAAATCAACGCTGCACTCATCAAATTCGAACTGATATTTCAGCAAATCCATTTTCCGTCACCCAACATTAATCTTCCTCTTCACTCATCTAGAGACCATTGAGAACGTTGGTTCACAACAGCCTTCGTCGAACAGACTTCTTTCAGCTGCAGCTTATATAACGAAATTTGTTATTCGTCTGATACGTACTGAAACACTTGTTTCATTAGGGTGTATTTTAACAAACTTTATTTGTATTTCTAACTGTTTCACTGTACTTCATTGTCTATTAGCGTCTTGGTACGGGGTAATAAATTGATTTCGCATCATAGAGTAACAATGAACATCTTTCATGTGTAATATCCGTGAAAATTAAAGCTCAAAATAAACACTGCGGAAATAATAACTCCGCCCTTTTGCTTGTGATCCTGTTAATCTTTCTCGTCCTACTGGTGACGCACTAGTTTACTTCGCTTTCGCAATTTGTAAAAAGTCACATTTCTTGTTTTTTTTTTGCAGCTTGCTCAATGTTCGTGAAGAAAAATGCACGCCAATTCAACATTGCAGCATGTCTCCCTCTCTATACCAGATATTGCGGGAGATCATATCTCGAAATCTACGGCGCTCAATGTGGATCTGCTTGAGGGACCAGTATTACGTCCGCGCAATGAAATATGTGTGAATAGAAAAATTTACTTTCGTGTACTTTTCTTCAAAGAAATATGAATTTGCATATTTAAAACGTGTCTTCTTTCACAGATAATATTGTCCCAACCAGAAAATTTCAATTTATTGTCCATGTGATTTCGATAACATCTTAATGTGTACGGCATCAGGCAAAAATAGTTGTATTGCAGGGCAAACGCTTAATCAATAAAATTATGCAAGGTATTTTTTTTACTTTTGATGACGACTTTAGGATGTTTAATTACCTTAGTGGAATATCTGTTATTCGTAAAGTCCATTTATGATAGCAGTGCGTTCACCAGTTCTTTTTGCGATGCACCATATTACGCTAGAGTCGCTTCGTATACCAGCTAAAATTATTACTTGATATTCATAACCTACATAAAACGTGGTCGTTTTTTCTTCACGCAATAGAAATCCCAAAATAAATCGACGAAAAACGAGTAGCGTTTGTTCCTCAACTCGCAGCCGGAACACACGGCCACGTAATCTGGATCCACTTACACGCCACCAATATTGATCATAGCCACGCGCTGTGTTTGGCAAAGCACAGGCCCCGCGCTGATTTATACACATTGTTAAGGATCGGCAATTCCCGTCACGGCAGCGATTGGGCACGAACACTACCCGAATGCGTGTCGGGCACTGATCGTCACGAATCGAAATCGAGGGCTCTCGCGATGCTCGTTTCCACTGCAGGAGCCGCATTTACACAGCGTAACAGCTGGAATCTCAAAGCTTGATGATAAAATCCTGGGGATAGCATTCCTCACAACGCCAACATTTTGGAACAATCGAAGCACCTCAAGTGAAGCCGAAACTGAGTGGTCAGCTAGTTCTCAGAGTGCTCTGCGTGGCATTTCGCTACGATGGGGCGCTTTGAGTTTTGGAAGAAGTCTATTGAGATTCGGTAAAATGTAACATGAAGATAAATACAAGAATACCTTATTTATCAAATAATATGTAGTGCGGCATAAAAAATTAAACAACAAACAGCCAAGTACAAACGAAAAGTGACTTTGGATTTCATTACCTGCCTATACTCCATGTCACTAGTTGCGTGTAGTACAGGCGAAGGCAGCGCCAAGCGAAAGGAGAAAGGGCAAGCACTAGGAAGGCTGGGGCAGACTAGAGAAACCTTCTCTCTAATGTTTCTAGTGCTCTCTCTTTCTTCCATCGCCCTTCATTATCCTCCTCACCCGTTCCGCCTTCAGAGAGCTCACACTTTCTCTCTTCGACTTGCGTTGCATTCGCCTGCACTGCACACAGCTAGTGACTCGGAATATGTATTGCAATATATAATTCTTATTAACAAACATGCATTTTTCCAAGTTCTCAGAGTGCACTGTTTACAAAAGTGGCAAACTGATTAGCTGAAAAACTACATGGAGCACAAGGTTGTCTGCTTCTCTTGCATGGGTTGTGATGACGTCAGAACGTCGAGCTTTGATTGGCTCTGATTGAAGGATAGTAGGCAGATCTCAAGGCAGCTTGCTTTGAGGTCTGGTCCCAGTAGCGATCGCATAGCGGCATTTGTTTCCAGTCACTACATCGGTTGTCATCTGTCTTTAGCTGGTTATCTTTGAACAACTCATTAAACGCGAAGTACCATTCACGAAACTCGTGCAGCCAAACGTTTTAACATAGCGATGAATGATCATGTTTACTTCTGATTTGAGCGTGCGACCTGCTGCTCTTGGGGCGTTGCAGCCACTGCTGTGAAAGGTCCGTCCTGGAGAGTCCATTTAGAGCAGGGTAAAGTGCGGTAGCCACCATATGGCTGCACTTTGCGGCCCAGTAAGGGCACTCACAGTGACTCTCCAAAATGTAGCCTTTATCGAAGAGCGTCATTTTTATCGTGTAGCTATAATTCTTGAACGACGCCTGGACACTCGCTACTAGAGTGAAATCCTTCACCTCAAAAGAAAGGAAGTATCCTTCAAGGTATTTACCTTCCCCTTTTCCAAAGGCCGCGTTCTCGTCTGTGGAAAAGCTGTGAATCTCCGACCGACGCAGGAAAGGTAAGGCAGCCATCACTTTGACTAGAAGACGTAAAGCAGACAATGTTAACTGCGCCAACCGCGCCAACCCGCCGACGCCGTTAAAGAGTGAGGAGTCTAGCCGCACATGAAAGGAGGCAACCATCGCACACTAACCACCCTCGCTCTCGGCTCTTAGCAGACAAACCTCGGCGCCTCGGCCACCTCCCCCGTGAGTGCTTAGGCTTCGCTCCTTGATGCGCGTCTGCTAGTCGTTAGACAAAAACAACGTACCGCTTGAGTTATTTTGTCTGCCCTCTCTGAAAGGCGAAGTCGAGCTCACTCGTAAAAACCTGCACTTGCGACAGTCGCAGAAAAGGTAAGAGAGCTGTTGATTAGCAGATGACGTTGCTAAGGGGCAGACGACGCTCAGATAGTGGGTCGCGGCGACCCACTGTCTTTTCAATCCAGCCAATCAGAGCTCGGCGTTCTGACGTCACCACAACCCCTGCGCAAGAAGCATACGAACTTGCCCTCCGCATTCAGTCACCCTAAATTAAACCAAAATTGTGGCAATGATTGCGTAAAGTAGTAATAATCAACCCACTTCACTGTAGGCGCTAGGTCTTCGCTGGTCGCCATACTATGTGCATTTCTTTGACGTCGTCGAACTTCAAAATGGCGTCGTCATGTTGACCGTGCTTAAATAAAACGTATGACAACACGATTTGTTTTTAAAGGACTCGGATTTAGTTAACAGTTCAGCAGGTCAAGGTTAATCATTACGAATTATTATCTGGAAAGGCACTTCCGCAGCGCTCAATTCATAAAAACTATTACAACGAAGCTGTGTACCCCTACCAACCAAGGACATGTTCTTGTCGTCGTTGTAAGCAAAAAACTCCCGGCGAACAATTGAAGGCAAAACATTCATATCTCCTTTGAAATCAGGCATATTACACAGTTTCATTAAAGAAAACCACAAAAAAAAGCCCCAAACACATATGACGCATGATAAGGAGCGTGTGACCAATATGAACACCCTCCCACGCGTTCCGGTAAAGATTATATGTTGGCAGCTGCTTCGAAAGGGGTTGACGTCATTCGAAGCCCTCGAGGAAGTGAGGTCACATGACACTCACACGGCCTCCGATTGGCTCCGATGGCTCGTAACATTTGCTACGCTTAAACGTATCACGAAACAGCGTATGCCAACTAATTTCACTGTTGCCGCAGCACCACGATGAATAGGCCACGCATAGTTACGACTCCCGAGGAGCGGCGTGAAAGTAGGAGCGGCAAAGGGAAAAGAAACGGCAATGCGACCAGCGGCGGCGTCCTGCGACCGGCGGCTGAAATTTCGTATAGGCAACCTGCAATGCTGTTTGGTTTAGCGCCATCTAGCGAATGAAGCACGAAACATTGGGTATGCCTGGGATTTTGGGCTGCGTTGTTCAAACGTGAGCTATTATGCTGGTGGCGCCGCTAGCCTAGTGTCTGAACCAAGAAATACTAGGGATCCCAGGAAGCCTTGATCGCGTAGCATGCCAGTACGGCGGAAGCTACGGCCCTGGCGGGCCAATCGGAACGTGACTACGTATTATCGGAGTGGACTTTTACTGCAAAGAAGTGTAAGGCTTTTTGCTGCGCCATGCTCTAATATGTGCGCGCTGCGCTCGTATGCGTAGCTCATATCGAAGTCGTCGGCACGCAATGTAGGGCTTATCGTTCACCCATTGGCAAGTTACAGCGAAACAGGTTATAACCGGGGGCTCTCACTTTGCTGGCGCCGCCTGGCCGTGGCCGGCTGGCTATAGTGCAGGAGGCAATCGTTTCAGGTGATACCGCAGCTTCGCTGACCAAACACCTTCACAGCGTGGATTGGAGTCCCAATTTTATTTACTACAGTGCCCAGAAGCAAACTGCAGCAAGGTGGTAAGCTGGGCAAGTTGGTACTGGTTGAACACGATGAAAAAAAATTGTGCACAAAAAGACGAGGACAGGGAAAGGAAGGGAACACAAAAGAAGCCTGTCTATCTTCTGTTTTCTGTTCTTCTAATTTTTACTCGTCTTTTTTTAGCTTTTCTTTTAAATCTAGAAGCAAGTTTGCATGAAACGTCAGTTTTGAGAGAGATTTAATGTTTATAATTATAGGAAATCAAGTTATCTAGGTAGTATTTATTATTGATCCTTTCATAGATTACAGTTGAAGGATATTTCTTTTTGTTTCTACTCTTTCTGGCTTTTTAACGCTGAGCGTGCTTGGTTACGTTAAAGGGAAAAAAAGATGCAGCCACGTGCGTGCATTTATATCTTTTAAGCGCAGAAGGGAAAAGAGAATGTCACAAGTTTATTGTTATCAAAGTGTTTTCATAAACAAACACAGCTTTCATGCGGCGTGTTTCCGTTCTATGAGCAACGAAACAAGAATCGTCCCAGGTGCCGTAAAAATGGTTGAAAAACAAGTGTGCCATTATGTGAGACCTTTATTAAAGGAACGTTTCACGTAATGGACTATATGAATTGTACTGCATCTGTTAGTGCCGATGGCAAGAGACCTAAGGATTAAATTTCAACCAATTAATAAACAAAAATTTTAGCTTTGCGCTTGATTCGTGATTCACACTAATCAATAAAAGTTGCGTTTCTGAAAACATCTAGAGGTCATGGAATGTCTTCTCCCATTAGTGCGATGTAACAAAAGCGCGCTACTACAGTGCGATAATACTGGCAAATTTAAACAATTCTTTTGGAGTTTTTAAAATCACAGGTAATCGATTGAGCTGCTCTGCTGTCTAGAATTTATTTTCAGGAACTGAAAAAGCCTTCCTATTACACATAAACTTTGAAAATGAAAACACACTGAAAATATTTACAACTGGAACTTTATTTTAAGGTGTTTTCTTCTTGCCTCAAGGTGAACCACAAATTGACTCCGGATAGACGTCAAGATATGAGTTTCCGCAGTGCTTGACAAA